GACCATCAGATCAATGGGCTGCACCCGCATCTCCTTGCAACGTGATATTTGCAGCTTTTGCAGACTAACAGGGCTGCCGGGTCAGTGGCTTGAGGACAGATCTCAGTGGAAACCCTCTATACTAGAAAACATTGCCTGGGTGATTCAGAAGCTCTGTTTCCTTAGAATCAATACTGGATTAATGCTGTAGTATTAGACGGGAGGCAGCATGCTCTGGAAGATGCTAGCTGTAAGATGAGATATAGAACTGAAGTGTACTTGTAATATCTACTTGTAATATTTTAACAATGCTACTACAGCTTTGTAAGGCAGGTTATTAGCTGCGCTACCTAAAGCAATTCTAGCCAGAGTAACTGAGTTCGCTTACTCTGAACCTTGCCCCTGCATTTTTATTTCTGTATAATATTCCTGACTTGAGTTCTGGCATGGTGTTGCTATGCATTATTAAACTCCCACTATTTTCCACTACAGAAGTAGCTGCGTTTAGCTTTAGGTGAACTTTCTGTGGAGAGGTTAACTTGCAAAAATGCTATAAACATGCAAACTGTTAATTACTACTTTTATATTTTTAAGCTGAGAACCCACAGCTCCAGAGAGAAATTTTGGTGCATTGGCTCACTAAGTTATTAAATAATCATATTCTCCCTATGGAACAGCAATTTGCTCTTCCTCTTTTTTCTTCTTCTTTGCCTTTTTATTTTTTGCCAAAAAAAAAATGCACTGATGAGATTGTTTATCTTTTTCTCATTGTGAATGGTCTCCTAAAGACTGAAAGCTGGTCTGGGGGTTTTGTTTGTACAGAAGATTAGCATCTCTTCTCCGAGCTGGTCCCCAACTGTATTCACATTTACTTATCTATACAAAGAACCCTGAAGAGTAATATATGACCTCATGATGCAACAAGCCAGGAGACGAAAAAATATCCCATTAAGAGGACAAAGATAATCAATACTAATAGCAAAGTCTAGGATTTTAAAAGCTTCTCAATGAAGTTGGGCGCAATCTAACCAGTCAGTCAATGACAACTGAAGTGCAGCTGGCTGGGGGCTGGGGGGCAAGTCAGAGGGAGAGACACAGAGGAGAGCCCCTTTTTTAGGAGGGACTCGGATGGGTCAGTTCCCTGGGAAGGAGCAGCATGTCCTGGCTGCAGCTGGGGGAGGCTAAAGGAAAAGCAGTGCTTAAGGGGTAAAATGCTGACAGCACATGGGAGAGAGATCAATTTGGTCTCCTCACCACTTCTTCCTGCCACTCCTTTGCCCTAACTCTTCCAAGGACTGCTAGAATCTGAGCAGCAGGATTACAGAGGCAGAGCGCCTGTGGCTGTGCTCAGCCGCCTCCTTCGATTTCCAGATTTCCTTACATTATAAGACCAAAGGTACTGTGGTTTCATTCCTTACCAGGCAATGACTAATTCACCCTGGAAACTGGGAGATTAAAGTGGTTCCTTCTCTTTGCTCATCACCACGAGGGAGGTTATGGATTCAGTATCAGGGCAGCATGAAGCATGAATGTATCATCCAAACCTGTACCAGATCTGCAGGGTCAATGAGAGGAAGATGGGTGAATTAGAGAAGGTAGCAGAGCTCTCTCTAATGTCTGGGTATACTTCCAATTGTCTTTTATTATTTTAACTACCTTTTTTTCTTTTTTGGCTTCCCAAATTCCCTGAATACTTTCCTAACCCCTTCTTGCTCCAGATTAGGCTCTTAGGTATGTTTCCTGTGCAAGTTCCCCTTCACGCCATCGACAGTTCATTTGGTGTTCCCAAAATACAAATACTGCAGGCTTTCCTTCCTCAGGATCATGCCAATCCTTTACACAAGCCCACTAGAGTGCCTCCTGTGTCTTGCATCTCCCACCCTGTCCTCACCTCTAGGTTAGATCATACCAATTTTTTTCTGCATGACATCTCTAAAATGCAGCCTCTGGTATCCACCCACATAAGCAAAACTTGCATCTAGACTTAATCTTGCGTTTCTTATTCCTGCGTGCTGACAATGCCAACATCCTTTCTCTTGGCCGTGACGGATGCAGCCCCTGTCCTGCCATGCTCACACTGGAGTTGCTCAGAGAAGCGTTCTCCTGCCTTTCTTTGAACCCTTTCCCTGTCTTCCCCATATTACCACCCTGATAGGATTTCTCCATGAGCGTTTGGGAAACGACCTCACTCTCCTTGAACTCCCTCCTACCCACTTACTCTCTATCCTGCTCCTGCCTGCCGTGCTGCCCGATTGTCGTGTATCCCCTCTGCTGTGTTTGCACTCCCTCTTTCTTTTCTCATATTCCAGCTGGAGGCATCCCCCACCCCAGCTCCACCCGCTGCCTCTCACCCCAGCTCAGCTGGCCCCGTGGCCCAGGCCAGCCTTCCAGTCCGGACGAGCTGGCGGATGGAAGGGAGCAGGATCCTGCCGCGGGGATGGACGGACATGCAAACGCAGCAGCTGCCCCAGCCAGCCCAGCTGCACCCAGAGGAGAAGGCGTAACGTAGTCCTCAGTGATAAACTCTGGGAGCAGAGGTTGTTTGCCCTGTGTTTGTGCAGCGTCCAGCAGAGCCGAGCCCAAGACTAAAGGCCTCAGCACTGTCGAAATACAAAATAGTATCAGTAAGGTAAAATGGCAACGAAAGTTTGCCACACCGTGTCAGAACCGGTGCGTGGCTGCGAGCTGATTGATTAGAGGAGGAAGGTTGCTCAGTCGCTGTGGTTCTGCCAGTCCTTGGCCCGTCTACCGAAATTGCTACAAAGGCAGAAAATCACTTGAGCTAGTACTAAAAGAAGCAGCAGTACTACGGAGCTGCACTGGGATCATTAGGGTGGTTAATATTCAGCTGGCATATTGCTAAAAAGGCAGTGCTTGTTAAGAAGAAAAAGCAACAAAACCCAACACTGCGCATAGGTCTTTCTGTCGGCGATATTAACAGTGGCAGCGTTTTCTGTAAAACATACGACTAGTATTCATTAAGATCAGAACTGCTGCCGTGCCACATCTCGCTGCGGTCATCAGAGTAGTGTCAGATCAGTCCTGAGTAACATGGGCCACATCTGAACCCGTGAATTAAAGACTGAATGCTTTTTATTGCTTTAGTGGTCCTCTAAAGACGACTTCTCCACCTGGGTACAAAATATGCCTGTCAAGTTGATATTGTGGCTTTGGTCAGCGTGCCAAAATAAATGGGGGCTAAACAGTATCCATGCCTGCGTGCACACACATATATGTATATATTTTGCAAGAAATCTCGCTTAGTTCGTTAAAAACACATTAGAAGGTAAGGAAGTCTTTAGAAAGGCCCTCAACTGGAGATAAAGGCTGTCTGTCACCATAAATGCAATATAGCTGTAAAAGGGATTTTCACTGTATATAGAGACTCTATAGTGCAAAATGTGCTATCAGGCAGAAAAAGCAAATCCTTGTAAAGGGGCACCTCTTGCTATAATGCAGGTCTTTTCTATAATAGAGTCAGCTCTGATATAGGACTATTGCTGCACTGCAAGCTGTAATAAATATTAATGTGTCAAACTGTACGCCACCTCTATTTCAGGATGGAGGCAAAAGACAGCCTTACAGGAGATGAGTCGCAGCTCTGCTAGGGAGCTGGTGCATTCCTCGTGCCTTTTGTCGAGAAATTTTTATCTTTGCAGTGGTTACATCCTGCATTTCTCTAAAGAATTACCAAAAATTCCATTTACATTTTAAGAAAGGTATGAAATCTGCCTTGTGCTTGGGGCTATGCCTTGGGGGGAGTGATATTTGCACTTCATATCATGTTTATTGAAAATCTGCCCTCGTGCCAGACCAGCATTTTGCAATGCAAGCCTACAAGGTCATTGCCTACCAATTGACAAAGTTGTATTTTAGTAGATGTAAAGCCCGATATACACCTTCTTACAAAGAGGTGCTGCTATTTATATTGTATTTGTTTCTCATAGTGAAATCATCCCACCAAGAACACTAAATATGCATATTTTTGTGCATATATATGTATGTGTATACATCTTACAAAATAATCCTTTCATTTTCCTGCCTGCATCATGTCGCTGTATTAAATATCTTACCTAAGCACATGTCTATGAACAGCATTACTAGACCAAACGTTTAAATGTATACTCGTCCTTAGACATAATAGTATTCTAAACATAGGCTATAAATGTAAATAAATATTATACTAAATATTTATGTTTACTATCCCATGCAACAATAGTTTATCAAATATTTACTAGCCTACTTACCTGTACTCTTGTGGGCACAGCTGCATAACTACTTATGCTACAGAGTGTTTCTGTGGTTGATTAAAGTGCATTTGTGTGTATATCTGCAATGTTCGGTAGGCCTAGTTAAACAGCCACTTATATAAGCAAGCAGTGAATGCTGCTCCTTTTAAAAAAATGAAGTTTCTTGTTATAGATTCTGCAACATCCTTTGCATGAAGCTCTTCCTAACATCAGGCTAGGTATCAGTGGAGCAGCAGGATATTTTTAAAGTATTGGGATGCCACACGCAGTGTTACTCTGCAAAAAATGAGAGGAAAGGCAGCCTCCATTTGTAACAAGCGCTGCTCATTAGTTTTAGCTTACAATATGTTGCTGAAACAAAACTATTTTCCTTTCACAGAAACGTGTATTTCTGTCCAGGAATAATCCTGTTGGGAGGTAGGAAAAACGGAAGAGTTATCCCAGTGCTTTCTTCGGCAGGAAATCGAGCAAGGTTGAAAAGTGGATGAAGATCCCACTCTCTCAAATCACAGACTGAGAAGGGAAGGGGTTATATATACTTCCACCGCAGGAGGAATCAGGGAGTATTTAGTGTTTATTCCATCTCCTTATTAAACTACTGCTCTACCGCCAAACACCGCTGTTGCTGCTCACTCAGTACGGATTGCAGCAGAAACAATTTTCATGCAATTAGTCAGCAAGGAAGCTCAGTATTTAAGCAATCATCTCAGGCAGCAATCACAGTTCTTACTCCCTCTGTTCTGTCTCTAAACGCAGTTTCATACCGTCGTGATGCAAAAGGACTGCGTTTTCCAGCAGCCAGCCCTTCTTTTTGAAAAGTCGTCGCGTAAAACTCCAACAGAAATGATTCTGTGCTTCCAATTTAATGGTAAAAAGGTATGTAAAAGCCTTGTTCATGAAGTTCACTGTTCGCTCAGTTATTCATAGAAATACAAAATGAATGAAGAAGAAACACAAGTCTTTGCTTTTTGTGGTAGAACTTAAGCAAATAACCTTAAAGGCAATAAATCGATGTGGCTGCCATTTCATTAATTTCAAAGAAATCGGCTTTTCTGGGTCAATTTATAACCTGATGTGAGGTTGTTACACTGGAGAGAAATTTGGCCTACTACTCCACAGCAATGTAGTATCAGTCACCAGGGATGGGGGAGGTGAGCTTTGTAAGGAAAAAGAGACTGCAATGAGCATGGAAAAAAAGGGCTCAAAAGAAAGCCATTAAGTGCTTTTTCATCCTAACTAAGTTCATTGTGAAGGGTGGTTGGGAAGAGGGGTAATATGAGACTTTCCTATTGAAAAAAATATTGATTGTTAGGAATCAATAGCATTAAAAAGCTGTGTCTTAAGCACCAGGCTTTGAAGGACTCCACAAGCTTTTCCATTCCCAGCCTATTCTCCTGCCAGAACTTTGATAGCTTTAGCCTGCAAACCAGCAAGTGCAGTGATTTGATGGTGGCCAACATATATTAAAAAAATTAAGGTGTCGAGCGTGTATTTTATTACATCTGCAATCAGATGTACTTCCTTCAGTCAGCTCATTTGCAATTAAGTCCAGCTGTTCTCAGTAGAGAGGACTCTTCCAAGAAAATTGCTGTAAAATTTAATGGGAGGATTTTCCTTGGTGCTTTGTTGTAAATATTGTTTTCCTAATAGGCTGCTTAAGGCCTTTGCTTTTTCACTCAATGGGCAAGAGAAGTTATGTAATTTTTCAGGCTTTAGAGAGTGAATAGGTCGGTGATAGATCTCCTAAAACTTATAAAAATATTCTCATTATTTAATGAGAACAATCTTTAATAACTTGAAGGAGAGGAAATTTTTGAAGCTTTTTTCGGTCTGCATAGGCTTTTGTTTACACAAAAAGGGCTATTTTTTAACTGACGTATCAGACAGAATTGGATCAATATGCTTTACTGGGTTTCTTCTGTCTAGAATCGGGTATGACAGCCAAAGAGGGGCACCAGATTGCAGACTTCAGAGTATGATCCCTTACTTCAATATTGTAGCGTAACATCCCAAAACAAGGGCCAAAATAATACACCATGAACTCGTGATACAGCAGTGCATTTAGCAAATGATGAAAATTAGAAACTTTTGTACCTCCTTGCTACTGTGTCCAAAGAGCATCTCTTTCCTTTTTGCCGCTTAGGCAAATCTCATGTGTTTTTCATATCTTTTCAGCAGCGTTTTCAATCCATGTGCTTCTGTCACTCCTGGAGCACAGTTCCTAAAATATACAGTGAGAACTGTAATTATTGACATTATTTTAAGATGGAATGCTGAAGCATTAAATATAACAAAATGAAGCATTATTTTGAGAGGAGAATGCTGAGACACGAATGATAGCAAATACTATTATTGTGGATTTATTTTCAGCCAAGCAAAAATCGGACTCCTTCTCTAATGGTGAAATATGACCTGGCTCTTGCACAGCGAGTAATTTGCTAATTTGTTTAACGTTGTTTTCCGTGCAGGAAAGCCTTGCAAGAAAAAGAATTGGGAATGGATCAAAAGTGCAGGTTATTTTGAGGGACAGAATTAAGCCACTTTTTATTCTTAAAGACAGTGATCACATTCCTTTTTTGGCAGCTGTGAATACCAAGGAGAAAACGACTCAGCCTGGTCGAAACTTGAGTTATCATTGCTATATTGCTTTGTGATGCAAAGGGTAAAACCAATGTCCTATCAACAAAACCCTCCTGCCGATGCAGTAGAAGTCCTTCTGCTAGTACAGTTTATTTGAAAAAACAGAATGAACCACAGTAGAAGAAGTATCCCTTTGCTACTACACTCACATAGCTACCTTGGCACATCTTCATGGTTTAGAATCCCATCTCCCATGTCTGCAAATAGCAAGAGTTGGCTGGCACAGTTTGAAACAGTTCAAAATAGTGCAGCAGATAAAGTTATAGAGGAAATCTCTGCTGAACATATATTTTCCTGTGCACGGGCTCGAGAACAGATTGATAAACCTGTTTTAAGATGATTAATCAAAAAGGGTTTGGATCAGGAAATGACAAGGAAGTTTGAGCTGGTTGCAGAAGAAGTTTAGGAAGATTAAGTCTCTCTAAAAGAGGGTGCTTCTTGGAGTGATTAGAAATCAGAATCCCATGGCTAATAAGGAAGGAGAGAAGGGCTAGAACAGAGTAGGGCTCATGCTTCTGGTGGTCCTATGCACGTGTGTTTTATTTGTATCTCTTGCTTGTTCTTGGTTAAGTCACTGCTTCTAGAATAAAGTATGTGATTTTCAGCCTGAGGTAGTTCCTGCGGATCAGCCACCGTGTCCTGGGCTTTTTGGTGTTCTGTGGTTTACTCTGCTGGGTCTTCCCAGCAGCAGTGAAATGACAGCAGGAGGCACAAGGAATAGGGCTCCCTGTTCAGGCAATGGCTAGTGCTTGCCTTTCCCCTTCCTAATCCGTAGGCTTTCTGGGCAATACCCAAAAAGGATGTGGGCTGCATTCATTCTAAGGGGATTACAGGCCAACTAGAAATGTAAAGCCATTAAACATATTTTAATTAAAAGCTCAGTACTTTTAGTGTGCCCACGACTACAACAAGTACCAATAGGTTGCTTTTCAGAGGTTCTTATGTGGAGCCTTCAGTTTGGGTTAGATTAACGTTTGACAACATTCTAGTGATATCTCTTGAGTGCAAGGGATGTGCAAACTGGCTTTATCACCCAAAGTCACAATGAGGATAAATGTGGTTAAATGACAGTGACATGAAGGTCTAGGGGAACTTTGGAATAAATAGCTTTGAGCTGCCTGAGAACTCGTCGCATTGCTCCAATGCTAGTTTGTGCTTCTTTGATTGGATACGTGGTCGTTAACACCTTGCTGTGCAGGTGCAGTTCCAGAGGAAGCTATAAGCAGGTCCTTCGCTCTTGCAATTTGGCTAAGCTCTTCTTTAGTCCGGGTCTTGCTATGTTTAGAGCGGTAGTTAATAAAAGTCGCAAGAAAAAAACATCCAATGATGGGGGAATAACAGATGAAAAAGGATTTATCTGTGTTTTTCTTACTAGCTAGCAGTATGCCACTGAGTATACAAAGCACTAGCTCACAGATCATTGGCATCACTTAGATGAGAAAGCTGCAAATAGCACTGAGACACCATGGTCTGTCCATTCATTGAAGTTTTCTGTGTGCCTCTTTCCCAGCCTTTGTATTTAAAAATGTAAAATGTACACCTGATATATAGAATTTTTAAAGGTGTCTAGGTCACATTTCAGTTAGTACCTGGTAAGAGAAACAAGCACAAATGAACCTTTTAGCTCCATAACAGAGCAATTTTTGTAGGAAGCTGGAGACCTGGTCCTGACTTCCCCCCACATTAAGTGCATTTATGGTTTGTGAGCTGTGATCCATCAGGGATGTGCATGACAGCTTCTAGAGAAAGCTTTCCTGGTCTCTTAAGGATTCCCGCAAGCATTATTCAGCCATCAAATTCACAGCCTCTGTATCAGCACTTACCAGTGTATTTGGCTTAAGTAAAGAAGAGCATATATAGAAGTCTGGCTCTGTTTAAAATAGTAGATGGGTTTGAGACAGGAACATGGGATCCGATATCTTATAGTTTGAGAACAAACAGGTTCTACCTTGCTTCTAAACTTTTTTTTTTTTAATCTCCAGCCTCTCTCTAAATTCAGAAGGTGACCAGAATTAATCCTCATTTATTAAGAATAAAAAGTGTGCAGCTTGGAAGGCTGGAATGCGCCAAAACCTTGGGTTAATGCTTTCATTCTGTGTAGGCTTTAAAAAGTGGATGTGAGGGGAATCTTCAGGAGAATACAAAAGAGCATCTTCACCATAGGAGGTTATGGGAAGTTTGCTTTAGGGAACTGAATGGCAGGCCCTGCTTTTCACAAAAGATCTGCCCCTCTGGTACCTGAAGTTTTCTTTTCTTTCTAGTATTTGAACCCAGTTCCCTGTGACACCGTGTAGACTGCGCTACAGAGGGAAACTGTGCTTATATGAAGTTCTTTTCTTCTGGCAGGAGATGCCTTGTGTCCATAAACAAATTATCTCCTAGCAGTTTATCTCGCCACTTAAATGGAAATAATTAAACAGCTTTAGAATGAAAACAAGATTGCTTGGCACCGCTCTTGTCCTCTCTTTTTGCATTTCTTGCAGCAGTTCAGAAGAGATACAGCCAAGTACCTGCAAACAGCTTAGCCCCACACACGATCGATATCAGAAAAGATAAATCTGCTGCAATTGACTACAGGCTGTACTGTCACTAAGTGACGATGAAAAATGATCACCACTTGAATACACTGCATTTTTATCTTTAAATCTTTCAATAGAAGCAGTGTCAATAACAGGGCACTAAATAATCCCTAGATAGAAGGAAAATCTTCTCTGTCTTTCTTTTTTTCTTTCCTTTTTCTTTCTTTTTTTTTTTTTAGATGGAAGATGGATGTCGCTTTTTTAGAGACCTTAAACACTGAAGTATGAGATTGGACCTGCAAATTCCAGGAAGTGATCATCTGTTTAGCCTTTTCTCTCATTACAAAAAAAAAAAAAGGAAAAAAAAAAGCTAGCTTCATTTTCGAAAGAACTGGCTGTATTTTGCTTTTGCTGAAATATAGCTCAGTGCCATGGAATGAATGCGCCAAGGTTACTGTAAATGGAATATGCAGAAACAAAATAAACAAGGAATTTGTTTCTCATGTTCCTTTGGGGATAATATATCTCTCTGAATTGGACACTGCTGCCAGAGACGGCCTTTCTTTACTTTAAAATGTCTCTGACCTTTTCCTCAGCTAACTGGACCCAGCTTACCATATTGGCCCAAGTATAAGGCAAAGTCTTTTTCAAATAGTAGCCTTTGGAGAAAGTTCAACTCGCTCTGTGTCTGCTAACCATGCCAAACAGAGCTCTGGTTAGAGCTTCACTAGTCCACGGTCACTGTTAGCTGGCACGCCCATGTGGCTGCAGGAGGCCTATGCCTTGCACGCGCACTTCTTCACGCTGCTCTTGTGTCTGCTGCTCCTAAAGGCGCAGCACCCAAATGGGGCAGATGCTTGCTGGGGATGCTGGTAGTAATGTGGCCCTCTTGTACCCAAGAGGGTAATCTTTTGTTTGAGGCCAATTTATTTCCACGTCATATGGCACCTCCACCATCTGCTGGTGCTCCCTTTATCACATGTTCTAGCTGGGGTGGCAGGAAGCACACCAGAATGCCTTTGTTAACACCAAACAGAGAAACTCGTCACTCTTGCAGGACCTTTTCCATAGCAACGTCTGTGAGAGCTAGAAGCTTCTGGGTAAATCCACCCCAGTGGCAATTTGAGCAATCCCTGTTGTGTCCTGCTCATATGTGGAGTGCTGCAGGAACTCTAGGATGCTCTCTGCAGTTCTCTGAAAGGTGCTTCCCATGCAGTGCCCGCTCCAAGGGCCACGCACTTCTATACGCAAGAACTGAGTCCTTCAAGGAGCAGCCTCTATCAGAACTGTACCTGCACTTCAAGTGTCCAGGTGCTCTCCTGCTGAGGGCAGAAGACTACATTGAATCAATTATCCCTTGGATAATTGTGTTGGATTTCACAGTGGCAGGGACGCCACTGGTTGTTGAACTCTCCCTCTTATAGCTGGAAAAAAATAAGGAAGGCATTCCGGAAAACCTAAAGAGCTAAGAATAAGACCTTGCTGTTACAGGATGGCTGGTGCTTAAGTCCAGCTTCACCTGTTAAAAATCCTGCTGAGATTGATTGATTTACAGAAAGGTGATTATAAAAGCCAGCAAGTTGCTTAATTAGGATAGAGAGTTATGAGAAGCAGTTTGGCTTTTCTGGGAAGTACTGGAGCAAATGACTCTTGGCAAGTGGCTGGTGGAGTGGGGAAATCTCAGCTTTGAAGGTAGGCAGCACTGGTTGCTCAGTGCACTGCATTTGTATTTAGGAGTACTAAAGCTGAAGATTGCCGAAATCAGGCCTGAATCTGGTTCATCCCAGGCCTTATTGGCCTGAGATTATACTTGGTCTTAAATAATATTTACTATTCAGAAACTTCAGGACATTTCATTATTTTCCGAGGCCGTTGAACTTGTCTCAGTGGTTGTTACCATGTAGGGCTTTTGAAAGAGAATGGCAAAAGCAATATCCGCTTTTCCCAGCTGCACGTTAGAGTTTGCTCCTCCTGGCAAGGAGAAATACCGTGTATTGTACCATGAACTCCACCAGATTTACTGTCATAACAGACATGCGCCTGTTCTATGAGGAGCAATAGCTAATGGATTTGACCAAGTATGCATCGAATAACCATTCATGTTTCAAGCTTCTCCCTGCTTGTTGCCAAATCCTACCTGCACAATAAATTGGTAAGGGGTAGAAGTCAAGCATTATATCCAAATCCTGCTGACTTCTACCCGGCAGCAAAGGTGGAATGATTTTATCAAATCTGGGCCCTTCATGATAATGGAAGCAGAGTTTTCCCCAGAGTGAACCAGTGTCAGAGCAAAAACCCAGGAGACAAGGCACAGTGTTTGAAAATACAAACCAGGAACAAAATGAGGCAAAGGAGTTTTAACTAGTTAAATAATAAAATATAGGAAAAATCACAGAATGATGTCAAAGCTTGATCAAGCAGTCCTTAGAGGAAACAATGAGTTTAACTGCCTTTAATACTGCAGAATCATCAATATAATCAAGAAGAAGCAACTGGGTCATTCTGTCTCAGCCACTTGCATAGTGCAAAACTTCTTGTCTGTTCTTTCCACTATTTCATCCCGTCTAATGTTCTATTTAACCTGCTCAGGATAGCTGTCATTTTGAAAATGTGCAAAATGCATTAAATTTTAACTACATACTTTAAAAATACATGTATTTGTGCAGATTTTTCAAAGTGACTAGGATCTGAACGTATAGGGCAACAGAACATGACTCAAAGCCCAATTTAAAGTAAGAAGTAAGTGTTTTGAGCAGGCATCAACATTTAGACTGAAAAGCAAGGCAAAAGCATAGGTTTTTTTATAGATGTTGAGTGGACTAAATGCAATGTGAATTTATCTACAAACCATCTGTGATTTCTGGTATTTTTTGATGCCTTCACAGCTCTAATTTTAAGCAGTTATGTAGCCTTTAACTAATGATACTTTCTTCCCATTCGGATTTACATCAGATTCCACACTAGATCACTGAATGTTTAAAGAAAAGAAGTGGCTGAGTACGTTTCTCTCCAGATAGCATACATACAGAATAAAACAGCAGCCTTTTCTTTTTGCAAGTAAAATTTGACATATTTTGGGACAGAATACTGCATGCATAAAATAACACCATGAGTTTTGCTGGGTACAGTTTACTTTTTGTATTTTGCTTTACACTTTTCATGTAAATTCAGTGCTGGGATAAGGTGTTAAGTTAACCTCCCCAGAGACTGAAACTCCAGAAGCAGCAAAGCATGACGGCAGGTCTCTTTGAATTGCCTTAAAACTGACATCAAGGGTGCCAGCTTCATGAGACAAGAGGGAATTCAAGAGTCATAACCCATCCAGTTCTTAGTGGCTCTGCAGACAAATCTGTTACATGCTAGATTTTTTGTGTATGATGTGGACACTTCATAACTATAAACCAAAACAAAACATTCTATATAAGTGACTGAATAGCCATCCAAAAATTGTAGTTCCCACAGTAAGAGTGACCCCCCCTAAGCAGTTTGGAAGGCCTCCAGATTTGTTTTCCACACACCATGTTGTGGGGGAAGACCATTTCTAGTGGGAGCCAAGTCTCCAGAGAGCCTGAAACAATACCAAGCTAACTCCATTCATCCCACGGGAAATCTGATGGTAACTACATCATGGGCAGCTCAGTTCATTATTTCACGCTTTCTTCTGGCAGAAAGGTTCCGCTAAGATCCTTGCCCGCTATTGTTGGCTACAGTGGGAGATTCCGATTCAGGAAATAATGGGAAAGAAAAAACACTGAAGATCCATGCTCCCCCACATCTGGAAATGTCTTGCCATTCCAGCCCTGTCTGAAAGGAGGCAGGATCCATTCCCTTCCTTTTGGCAGAAGCTTCTCCTCTGTTTCAGGAACGCATCGTGTAGTAAACTCTGTGACAAATTGACTGAAAACTTGAAAGAAATGATTAGGAATATAAAAATGGCAAGAACATTTTACCAGTTGCATTATTCAGCCCTGTAATTATTTGAACCAAAAAAAAAATCAGTTTATTGTATTTATCTGAACTGCTGTCAAGAACGTAGCAGTGAAGTATGAAGAAATGCAGTGGCCCTGCTGATGAATATCTGTCCAGCTTACTACAGAATAAATATCAGCATTTATGTGCTGCAGGGGAAGATAAGGATTGTTTCTTAAGATATCAGTTATTCCAAATGAAGAGTCCTGTCCAGACATTCCTTGAGCGATTCTCTGCATGTGGTAGGAAACCCAATAGTCAATATTAATTGTGTCTCCTGATGACAAAATTAATTTCTTTTTAACGGGAAAGCATTTCAGGTTGGGCACTTTCTTCCCTAACAAATTCCTGTTTACGGTACCTCTGGAAGGATTCTGAAAGCATCCCTTTTCTTTGGTGTCGCTGATTAATTACAGCCCACTCGGTTCTTAATGGCTGCAGTCTGAGTGATACTGCAGCTTTCACCCTTGTCTGTGAAAGGTTCATCTTAGATCCTTGCTCCCCAGTTTGGCTTCTGCTTCCGAAGCGAACTGTGCCGCTCTCGTCAGGCTGCCTGCGCTGCCGGTTTGGATTGTCACTTCCTTCCCCCCTCACCCCTTCTCTCCAAGTGAGTTCAGAGCTACGAACATTATGAGACTGACAGCACCCAAAATGAAATTCTCTCTTTAGCCACAGTACGGATCCGGAACTGGCAGTTCACTGCAGTCTTCTCTATTCCGTCTCTTAGTCTGTCCACATGGCACAGTGCAGTAGTGTGTGGAGATAACTGGGCTAGCTGTAGTATAACCGCGTTAGCATAGCGGGCTGCCAGAGCTTATTAGCAATGCTGAGAGGCAGGGTGTATTAGTCTGGTCAGGATGCTGAACCAACAGAGCAGGCTGTTTCCAGGACTGCAGCTGCTATTTGCATATCTCTATATGACACTGCATTATGCAATGTGGATACAACACATATGCTTTAATTTTTTTTTTTTTTTTTGAGGGAGAGCACTAGGTCCTTGAACCTCTGGTGGAGATGATACAAGATGTCAGTTCTGATGCTTGTTCAGAGGTGGATACAAGTCTGTGTTGGGCCACCCAAATCATTTTGCCAGAGCCCACTCAACAGCTGTCAGATGGTAAGGATTTTTGGATGTTACAAACATCAGCCAGATTCTTGCTTTTATGTTCTACTAGTGATTTTCAGGCAAAAAGATTTTTATCAGTCCCTTGGAGATATCCCGGGCTCCTGTACCTTATATCCATAACTCCAGTTTGTGGTATACCTGTGGTGGCTACGGAAGATGAAAGTAGGACGCTGCCTTGGTTTGGGCAAGATGCCACTTAGGCAAAGTTGCTTGAAAGAAACCTTTTAGCAACTTAGCCTAGGGAATACCTTGCAAATGAGCACACCAAATTATTCAGTCTTTTCCTCCTGTATGTGACAAAATAGGAGGAGGAGCAGGAAATCCTACTCTCTACTTTAGCCATTACCTTTAGCTGGTGAAGTAGACTCTGCCTCAACTATTCCTATCTTGTTCATATTTGCCTTACTCGGTGGGGTTCAGTCCGTTGCTGATTCTTTGAAGTGCAAAACTATACAGCCATTTGTTTGTGTAGGCTGAACTACATCGTTTCCAGGTTTGCTTCCCCTCTGTGCTTAGGTACAACACCGATATTCGGATCAGAGCAGCAGAAATGCAGCCTTTGCATTTTCTCATCCTTCATGCCAAGTAACCAGGGTTTCACTTATTTTAATACCCTGCATGTTCCCTGAGAACTTTTAATTGATCAGCTGCAATTTGCAGAATCCATCGCATGATGGACAGAAAAACATCTGAGCGGCGCGCAAGGCCTCGCTTCACTTGGCTCGTGATACCTCTGCTGCTCCTTGTTGTACTCATTTCCATTTCACATAAAAGAAACATGTGCCTGAGTAAAGCATCTGACTGTGTGAATTGCGCTGACTGAATTTAATTAATACCTTTATGAAAGAGGTTATTATTTATTTTAGAAGCTGAGAAAACAAAAAAATCTAGGCCACTTCTGCAATTTACTTTGGGTGGAGCGACAATTGGCCTGGGCAGAGCTTCGTTTACTTCAGCTCCATTTATTTTAGCTGCACTCTAAGGGGGGAAAGAGCTGGTAGCGGCATCACAAACGCAACAGGCCTCTCCAAAATCAAACCAATAATACTTAGGACTACGCTGGGCACTTTCAAACTTCGCAGCGCTTTGCGAACACTCGCTAATTAAGGCTGGATCCTCGTCACCGTCGAGCCGTGGGCTGCAACACCCGTCCCAGTTCGTTAAAAACTGTAGCGCCTGCGTAAGGCGTAGAGTAGTACTCCTGCCTGCTTGAAGCTAAGCGTCGTTGTGTCCGCAGGACCTTGCTTCCTATTTTAAATGGTTTCACATCCGGCTCTAGGCCTAGAAAAATCCATACAGATCCCCCAAAATTGTCAAGGGGGTGGGGGGAATATACCCTAGCTTATACACCCTGAGGTGGCTGGAAGCAGAGAACAACGCAAACCACAGGGAGGAGGATAGCTGACTGAAAAATTATCACTCTGAGCAAGAAGAAAGGTTTTTCGGGGCGCTTTGTGCCCGTGCTCGTCTCCTGTGCCCGGCCCAGGGCACAGCCGGTTCCTCGCCGCTCCCCTCACAC